CGCGGTTAAATAAGGATCAGGATAAACAAATAGGCCGAATAGATGTTTATTCAGGGAGAAATAACTTACAACCTAGACAGATGAACACCAGGAAATTCAACCTGATGCTCTCCTGTCCAAGTCACACCAGCAAGAGAGAGCTTTTCCCGGCTCTCTCCGACCTCCTTCCCCAGGTCACTTCCGCCCATGGCTCCACCCCCAATGGGCGTGGTCAGTGCCACAGAAGGACTATCTCACTACACATTCCCACTTTCCCATGCATCCATGCATCTACCCAATACTATCCATCCACTCATTTAACCATCTACACACCAATTCATTCACTCATTCATCACCCACCTAACTGAATATCTGTCCATCCACATACCCACTCATGCACCTCCGCATCCACAAATTTATACATACACATATACATACACCTATCCACCCATCTACATCCGTCCACCTGTTGTCTTTCATGTACATACATACATACATACAATGGTTCTTCAGATCCAATCTTGTGCAAGGCACTGTGGTGAGTGTTGTAGAACCATGGAGGAAAATATAGCTATACGTCTGCCCCTAACAATTTTCTGCTCCAAGGAAAGCAAAATAGTAAAGCTGTTGGACCAACCTCTAGGATGTGTTGACAATGACTCCTTTGTGTGTCGAAGCCCCCATTGCTTCAACCAGACAATGGGCATCCTGAAGTCCCCTAGGAACAAAGCCAGTTCAGAAAAGATTAGGTGACTGAAAAGAGGGAAGACAGATGGGTAGATGGGTGGATGATATGACAGATAAACCACAAGACCAAAGACAGAAGGCCTGTCCACAAAGCTGAGCTAGAAGCTGGTACTCTGAACCCCCCCTGCCCCTGGCAAGGTGTAAGTCACCCCTGCAATGCTTGAATCCAGGGCTGTGAATCTGGGGCTTGGCCACCCTGCACTGTCAGGTCTTATTATTGTGACCTAGATGAACCACCAAGGGCCTAAGCTCAGAGCAGGGTCCATGGCTGTTCCTGCTACCAAGCTGAGTGGGTCTCCAGGCCCCTCTGGCCCTCTGATAGTGCCTCCCGCCTCTTTCTAATGGGAAGATCGATCTCCTGGATGGAGAAGCCAGGATCAATAGAGGAGTTGATTAGTTCTGCATTCTCACTGCCATCTGTTTCCAGCGAGATGGTGTCATGGAAAGGGCATGGACCCAGAGCCAGCAGCTGGGCTGTGTCCAGCCTTACCACCCACACTCCTAGCCAACTCTTTCCCCTTTCCTCAGCTTTCTCACCTCGAAAATGGGGTTCCTCTTGTTGCCATAGGGCTTGCTCTGAACCCCTGCATGCCAGACACTGGGTTTGGAGAAAAAGGTTTGTGGCTTCAGAAGAGGGAAGAAGGACCTGGATGAGCCTGTCCCTGTGTTTCAATGACAAACTCCTAACCTCTGAGAGGCAGGGAGGGGACCCAGGGTATTCTACCCTACATTGGTGTCTCTGTACTTAGGCTTCAGACTCAGGCTCCACAGCCTTGTGAGCCTATGCAGCAAGTGGGTGAGCTGGATTGAGTAAGGGAATGCCCATGCTAGAGGAGACAGGAAGTTAGAGACTTGGGACCTCCACATGTATGTCTGAGTCCTGGAGTGTAAGCTCACAATCAGATGAGAGGCCCTGCCACAGCATAGAGGGCCTTGAGAGGGTCAGGGCTTCCTGGGCCTCTCTGGCTATTTCAGTGGAAACTTGTCTCATTTTCCTAGTCATAAATCTAACCCTGACTCAACAAATATAGAAAAGAACAATAAGAAAACTCAGGCCCTTCTCAACTCTTATCCCCTAGAGATCGCCACCCTTCATGGTGCTTCTTCTTCACAAGTGGCCATGCTCACTGCTCATCCAATGGGTCTTCAGGTCGGCCTTGCTTGGGTCTGCCAGCTAGAGTTCCTACCATCTCTGATCCTCAAATGTGTGTGATGAGTAGACCTTGTCATTACTGGTGCCATGCCACCCTGCACATACTCCCAGTACCCTCCAACACCAGGTTGGGTAAAAGGTCACAGAGGCCCAGTGAGCTGGTGAGCTTCAACCACACGCTGAAGTAGATAACTGTAAGGGTCCCACAGCAGAGTCTCACAGAGATTCTGCCCTGCAGACTTTAGAGAGATGGCCAGGGCTCTACCATGCCTTGGTGTCATATTCCTGAGAGCTACTTAACGAAAGAGCCTCAGAGAGGGATTCCATTTGCTCAAGATCACATAGAAGTTCAGGCAAAGGTCAGCCAGAGTTTTCTGTGTGGCCAGTGTGTGTCCCCGACCCTCAGTGGGTTGCTGAAGTGAGAGATCTTCACTCTGTCCTCAGTTAGATGGAACTTTGATTGATGCAGGGAATGGGCCACAAGAGGTGTGTGCTGCAGGGTGAGAGCAATTGAAAATGGTGGGTATGAAGGAAGATGGCTTTGCAATAATGCCATCTAAAGTTAGAAAGGCTCATTAGTCATCAGTAGATTTGGACTTTGGTTTTGAAGGTGCTTGACAGAAGCCCCATCCTTGCCAATATCTGAGCTCACCAGTTTGCCCCTTCATTAAAGCGTTCACATGCACAAGATTACAGGTGCACTCACCCTCACACTCAGGCACACCTGCATGTAGTCATATGTCCACATTCCTGCAGGCCCCATATTGCACATTCACAGGCTTGCATACCTGTATACTTGCACACTTGGTTTCAACCATTCCTTTTCCATCTCCTTCCATTTGCTCTAGCTCCTTTACCATTTCTGTCTTTGCACTCTTTCCTTCCTTTCTGCTGTCTTCATCCCTTTCTTCCTCCCTCGGCCCTTGTGTCTCTGACTCAGTACCTTTCTTTCGCATCCCATCCTCAGGGCTCTCCATATCTGGAGATCCACTAGGATGGGTGCAGCTCGCCCAGGACCTGCACCCAGCCCCTCCCACACTGGAAGAGGTGCCTCTCTCTCCCCCATTGCCCGTGTGGGTGCCGGTTATTTCACCTGCCTTTGGATATGAAGCTCAAATTGCACATCAAAAGGATAATGCATCTTTAAGCTGTTACAACGACTTCTCAATTTTTCATTTCCTGTCAGGGTGGGAGCTGCAGGGGGCAGGGCGGCCGCCGAGCCTGTCTCCTGCCAGCCAAGTGTCTGCCTGGATTTGAGCAGTAGGAAACCCAGGGGTGATAAATCGCTATTTCTAAGTAAATTTCATGCATTTGCCCTTTGGTTAAAGTCTCTCCTCTCAGCACTTTCCCTGTGCACACAGCCCGACTAATAACGCTCCGTGCAAGCTCTCTCCACTGTGACAACTGATTGCACTTTGAAGTAATAATGGCTGATTTAATAATTGGTATAATTTTTCACTAGTACCTGAATGTCATCGACGCACAAAATAAGCTACCTGGGCCTACGGCTGCAGCACTTTCCTTTCTCGGGGAGATCAATAATGCATTAAACCCCCAACCTGGGACCCCAGGGGCCAGGCCTGGGGAGATGAGGGAAGCAGTAATGGGGATGGGTGGGGTCACACTACAGTACCTGGAGGGCAGAAAGGCTGGACAAGAATAAGCTGCTCTCCCCGTCACACCCTGACTGGAGAGCAGAGAGCACCATGAATCCTCTGCCAAGACCCAGCCCACTCTCCAGGTCCCACATCAATGTCTCTCCCCTCTACCACCAAAAGTACTGGGGAGCCCTAGAAGGCTGGAGACACAGGAAACTCACCCCCAAACACCCACACTAATTGTGTACTGTGCATATGTACACACACATGCGTGCACACACACACAGAAATCCACTCAGACCCCCTCATTGTCAGTTACTCTCAGGGGCCTGGTTTCCTTATAAGCCATGTGCATTGCTGTGACAGGGTGGCCAGTGAGAGCCACAGGGTCTCTCAGGGCACATGTGTGTGTTAGCTTCTCTATCCTGATGCCACATGAGATGTATATAGCTGTCAGTGTCCAAGTGTTTGCCTGACGAGTCTTGGTAACGGTCAGGGTTGAACCTCTCTCTGCCTGCCTTGGCCTTGAGAGCTTGCTCCTTGCTAAAGTCAGCATATAGCAGGATAGAAGCAGTGACAACCTCCCGAGTGGGAAGCCTACTCCTCACGATGTCTTCTCTGCTAAGGGTACTCTTTCACACCTGCATTGATAGAACCTACCCATAGAGAGAGCACAAGCTCCTCAGGTGCCTCTGCTCCTGTCCTTGGAGTCCTCACATACTCTGTGCCCATCTGAAAGGAGGTCTTGAGAGCCATGGGCTCTCAGGTCCTGTGAAGATGTAGTAATGGGATGAATGTATTATCTTTACCGTGCCTTCCTGGTCCTGGATGGATTGCATTGGAAGTGGTTTGGGGGTGGGGGTGGAGGTGGGGGTATGTGTGCATGGTGTGTGTGTGTGGTGTGTGCGCTCTGCTTGCTTGTATGTGGGATGTAGGCAGAGCCTATGTATGCATGCATCATGTGGAAGCAAGAGAAGGGTGTAAGGTGCCCTGCTCCATCACTCTCCACCTTATTCCCTTGAGACATGGTCTCGCACTGGACCTGGAGCCAAGCAGGTGGCCAGCCAGCTGCATGGATCCTGTCTCCATCTCCAACAATCCTGGGGTTACAGATGCACACACAGCCACAATCTCCACTGCACCCTCCCCACTGCCTGGAACTGTCTGAGTTTGGTGGTGGAGACAAGCCTTGGAACAGACTCTGGGCAGTCAAATCTGTACATCTAAAGGTCAATTCCATCTGTACAGAGAAGTGACACCCACCTTCAAGGGGACACCCAGATTGTCGTTGGGGGTTTTCCAGGGTTGCACAGACACCAAGAGGGTATGAAGTCCGTGTCTTGGCCATAGCTGGACCAGTGAGGCCAGGTTATTCCCCTCCCCAAGTCTCTCCCCTGCCCTCTGTGTCTGGCTGTGAACCAGGAAATGGATTTCAGCTTCACCTCCTCCCCAGATAGATCAAACATCTTAAGTGAGATTATTCAAGACCCTCCATTGTTTCTAACTCATTTCCTATTTTCCAGTTGAAGAACCTGCCAGAAGCGCTCAGTGGCAGAGATTAAAACAATTTTAGAAGCCGGAGCCCAGTGCCTCTCGTTGGATGGTAAGCAAATTGGATGTCTGTGAGAGGCAGGCAAATTTTATTATCAACACATAGTTTGCGACTTAAGTATCCTTAAGACCCCCTGGTGCTAAAGAGTTCTCGGCAGGAGGTCTTGGGGGGGCTAGATGAGGGGTGGGAGGGAACCCCCCAGCCGGGCCCCTGCAGGCCCAGGCACAGTGGGAGCTGTCAGACCCTCAGGAGCAGACAAACCCACCCTTGTCATTCTCTTCCACCACCAGGCACGGGTTTGGCTCTTAGAATATTTTTCTCCGTGAGTGCTCTGACCTGTTTGTTCCCCAAGAAACCAACTCAGAGAAGGGAAGGGTCTGGCATAATCTCACACAGCAAACAAGACAATGAGTCAGAAGAGGAATGCCACACTCGCTTGTTTCAGCAGACTGCAGAAATGGTTGATGCATTTTCTTCCTGCGACCGTAGAGTGGCCAAGGAGAGAACTCTGGAGGAGCGCCCCTTGTCCCAGCCAAGGGTGTCCTTGACTAGCTCACAACAAACCAGTCTCTAAGCTCGTGACAGGAACTAGTTAGCTTTGACTGGACTCTCAGTGGGCTCTGCTGAGGCCACTGGAAACCACCGCTCTGGGCAGGAGAAGTGGTTGCTAAAGATAAGCACATTGTTTAAGCAACTGAAAGTGACTGAGTATGGAGTGACTTGTTACATGGCTGTAGCTATCTGGTGACAGGAGATGCAGGCCTCCTGTCCTTGCTTCAGACCCTGGAGGCCTGTCCCGTGGAAGCAGATGTTCTGTTTCTGGCTGCTGCTCCGATGGCCCGGTGCATCTGGAATGATGGAGATTTGTGTAACCCTGACAACCCAGAGCTTTCCCAGGTGTTCTTTGACATTGCTTCCCTCCCCCAGATTCCCTCAGACTGACTGGGAGGCCGTGGGCTACATGCTCTGCCAGGGCTGCATCCTCAGCCCAGTCCTGGGAGGGAGGCATTTCCTTCATATCTTATAGGTGCAGGAACAGACTCAGCAGTGTGTCCCACAGACTGCAATGGGCTGTGTTCAGGACAACCTGTGTCTGTACACACTTGTTGACAAAACCTTTGTCCAGAGCCCGAGTGAATAGTCATAGAGACCCCCAGACCAACCCTTCTTGGTGGTAGCCTATCTCAGACTAGAGCCTGTCTGTGTCACTATCTGTATATGAATCTCAGTTGGCCACATTCTGCTCTTCAGACTGTCCTACCCAGTGGTACTGATTTCTGAATTGGGAAGCCTCCTTCCCCGCTAGGCCTCAGCTCCTGGAGCCACCTATTGCATCTGAGCACAGGTACACAGTGGGGTTTCCTGGGTTTTGTGGCTTGGACAGTGTGACTGAGAAGGAAGAATTGGTCTGGCATATGCAGAGCTGGAGGCCACCCGGTATGGCAGGTAGGACAGGGACAGCAGATGTCTTTGGGGGCTACACCCAGACAGGTGCTGTTCTGACCCCTGCTACACAGATCGGAATCCTGGGACAGCAGCCACCCCTTTCTCTCCTCGAGGGCTTCACTGGGCCTCTGTGGGCCACCAAATCCAGAGCTTTCCACTTCTTGGTGGCTCCAACTTCTGAACTGGCCATTGTGATTCCTTGGCTTTCCCAGCTGCTCCTGGAGGTGAGGAGCAAACACTTGTGACTTGGAGTGACACCCCCCAGCTCAGCAATATCCCACAGGGTTCTAGGCTAAGTACCCTAGACACTGTGTCAAGCAGAGCTGGCTAGCAAGACCTCAGTTAGAGCAAAGGCTAGCAAGACCTCAGTTACAGTACAGGCCAATTCTGGTGTCCATGTCCTCCCGAGGGCAGAAACACTGGCTCCATCATGAGCCAAGAAGGGCAAGAGAATGAAGAATGGATGGGGGAGTGATTATGACACACATTCTTAGGAGCAGTGAGGGTGGGACACATCTTAGCTGCATGCTAGAGCATCAGTGTGGCCTGTCCCCTCAGCTGTGACATAGGACTGAGGTAGAGCTCCCACTCCCAGGGCCCATCTGGCCAAGTCCAGACTCCAGAAAGTGACAAGGCCTTAGCCCATGAATTTGGTTACCAATATTGCGTCCCAGGAGCTGGCAGTATAGGGGACAGGGTGTTAGAGCCTAGAGGGCTAAGCCCCGGAGATGGACCAGCAGAGAGCTGGGAAGGTTCCAGTGAGAGTGCATGGCCCGGAGCCTGCATTGTCCACGTGGTTTACCTCCCCAGTCTTAGGACTGGAGGCTTTGTGGCCATCTGTGTGCCAGGCACTCAGCATGTCGTGAGAGCAAGTGTTTGTGATACATGATGCACGACATGGACCCTCAAAGCTGGTACCCGTGTCAGGTAAGCCCTGGGTTGATCCTCCAAGGGCCATGACTTCAAGATCACATATAATCACTACTGAATCTTGTGTCATGCACAACTGTGTGTGCCACCTCTCCAGACCCTCCCCGCACCCACTCCCTATGTGCAGACTAACACCAAAGCACAAGGACTGAGAGGGGCTGGCCCTGGGTTACTGGCCAGGCCCCATGCCAAGACTCCTTTTCAGTAGCTCTTCCCACAGATGTCCCCCAAATTAGCAGGTGTAATGCCAACATGGCCTCCATTTGTGCGGATGTAATTCCTAAGGATGCCTAGACAGAGGGCATACCCAGTGGTCCTCAGTATTGATGGCCCATGAGCACCCTGTGGGTAAAGTGCTGAAAGACCACACAGTCCTGGCTTTTCCCTAGCAGATGACATAGGACTCCCTGGAGAGGAGTCATCTCTGTATGTTACAAAGCTCTCTGTATCACCCTCATGGTGCCAGGCTGGGGCCAGGTATGACCAAACTTTAGTGGCTATGTGGGCTAGTTTTGTGACAACTTGACACAAGCTAGAGTTATTGGAGAGGAAGGAGACTCCCCTGAGAAGATGCCGCCATATGACTGAGCTATAGAATATTTTATTAATTGTGATTGATGGGGGAGAGCCCAGCCCATTGTGTGTGGTGCCATCCTGGACTGATGGTCACGGATTCTATGAGGTAACAGGCTGAACAAGCCATGAGGAACAAGCCAGGAAGCAGCACCCTCCATGGCCTCTGCATCAGCTCCTGCCTCCAGGTTCCTGCCCTGTTGAGTTCCTGCCTGACTTTCCTCAGTGATGAACTGTGATGTGGAAACTAAGCTGAAAAAACCGTTTCCTTCCTGACTTGCTTTGGTCATGGTGTTTCACCACAGCAATCGTGACCCTAAGACAGCGGCTTTCTTGCCCATCCTAAGGGGTTTCCATTTTCATATCAGCTTAAAGCTGTATTCATCTGGATTTCATTTAAACCATTTCATGAGTCACTTTAACCTCATGTGAAATCCCAAGTGTCCTCCCATGTGGGGGCACCCTGGAGTGCTGGGACACCCTTTGATACTGGAATGCCCTCCTACAGGCTCTCCTGAAACCCTGTGCCTTTGGATCCTGGTCAACCATTGGGTCAGGGAAGGCAGAATCTCCACCCACCCAGGTTCTAAAGCCTAAAGAGGCACCAATGCAGACTTCCATGGAGTGCCAGGCCCCTTCTGAACATCATGCCTGCTGGGGAGGTGGGGTAACTTCATTTTATGACTCTTCCCAGGTGGTTCCCTTAGCAACAGGGGGTTCCCTTGACAGCCACCTCTGTAGACCCTCTATTTTCCAGAGAGAGGCTCTTTACCCAAACCCTTTCACTCATTGAGTGAGAGTCACTGCAGGGGTTCCCAGGTACCTCCTCTTGAGTCTTCTACAGCCTGAGCTGTACCCTCACCCTGAGCCTACCCAGGCTCCCACAATCCTGTCCCTACAGGTCTGTCATCTGCCCTCCCCCCATGACATAGGTCCTAATTAATTGAATCTGGCTTCTTTAGCCCCAACCTCTCTGATTCCTTCTTGCTGTTTCTACCCCAACTTGTCTCTTCCCTCCAACACACCTGCAATTCACTCTCTTTCCCCTTCACATTAGCAGCTAAAGCGCCTGTGCTGACATTTAACGTTCTTAATATAGACCTTGGTAACAGAAGAACGAGAGCACAGAGTTTTCACACTGCCAGGGAGGGGGCTCCTATGGCCCAACCCTGTTCTGAGTACAGAAACTTTTCCTCCCCCAGTTAGGGGATGGCCTCAACAGGTCCCACAGATCATGTGGCATTCAATGGCTTTACCTTTTTTGTAGCATTCTCTCTCCAGGTGACCAAGAACAATGGTAAAACCTACTACCGTGTGTCAGGTTTATCGAGTGTGGCCATCAGGCCCTGCCCAGGGAGCCTGTACCCCAAGGTTGGTGTTAGCATGCATGCAGCTGTCAGCATCACCCCACACACACACACTTCACAGGTTGGAAAAGGGAGCTTCAGGTAAGCTTAAGGTTAGCTACCATGGTTAAAGCAAAATCTAAGGTAAGCCGAACACCTGCCTTACAGGTCTGGCTGGCTGAGGAAGAGAGTGGGTCACAGAGAAAGAAGGGAAGGGGCATCCTGAAGGACACTGGGAGGGTGGAGAGAGAAGGCAGGGTTAGAACAAGGGAAGGTCTCAAAGCTGCTGGGAATCCAGGGCCACAGGTCTTAGCAAGGCAACACTGTTGGTGACCAAGGAAGTCACAGTTTGGTGAAGGGGTAGGAGACACTAGATCTTCTAAGCAGTGGGCAAAGGTATTGAGAGAACAGGGCTTTGGGCAGCGATTCCCTTAGGAATTCTACCCTGGGCTCTAAGAAAGGGGAGCAGATGAGTGACGAACACTCATGGCGACATGTTTGCACAGTCTGTAGGCGCAGAGCATAGTGATGAGAGGTACAGGGACAGGCCAGGGGCCCCAGTCTGGTCCTGGTGTAGCTAGCTTGAGCAGGAGGAAGTCCCGCCCTCCAAGAGGAGGCTGTCTGCGGAAAGGACCTTGGAGGAGTTGTAGCTATAGTGGTCCTGAGGGAAAGGGTTGGTGGGCGGGGTTGAGGAGCACAGAGGATGTCCTAATGATTGTGACCTCCTTGTCACCTTGACACATACCCAAGAAAAACTATTGAAAAGAAGCAAAGTTTCCTTTGGACCCAGTTTCACCCTGTGGTCAGCTGGCGTCCATTGCTTTGGTCAGATGGGAGACAGGATATCATGGCAAGACCATAAAGGAGGGGACCATTTCCTGGGGGCCAAAAAGTGGGGGTGGGGTTCTCAGAGTTCCAATATAATCTTCAAAGACTCACCCCTAATGACCTACTTCCTTCAAATAGACTCCACTTCCCAAAGGCTCATCCACCTAGCAATAGCGCCACCAGCTGGGGACCAAATGAACAACACCAGAATTTTGGGGAAATAGCTTAGCTCTGATTATCAGCTGAGAGAACTGATGGGGTGGTCAGGACTTGGAAGGCTAGGCAGTGATAGGAGCCACAGCATCAAGTGATCTTTCCGTCTTTTTGTAATGACCCCTTCTGCATCAAACAGATGTCTTGTGGAATATATCACAGGCATTCTCAGAGCTACTGAAGTAACCCCTCATTGCCCATTGCAACCTGGTGTGTGTGTGTGTGTGTGTGTGTGTGTGCGTGCATTTTCCAATTTTTCTTTTGGTTATTGTGTTTTTGTATATGTATGTTCTTCCCTGGAGATCACCTCATGGTTGAGGGCATGTGTCCCTTTATAACCTCATCTAGTGACATCACATTGGCAGCTGAGGATCAGCTGTGATGGGAATATTTACACCATAGAAATTGCTCAGAGCTCCTCATTGAGATTGCTTCCCCTGGGGAAAATGGTGTTTAGTGTTGCTCCTTGTGCCTCAGAAATCTTGACTTGGTTAATGCAAGAAGAAATATATACATTATGTACACATGTTCTATTACCATTATGTATATGGTAAGATCAAAAGAAAGCAAAGGGAAAATTCACGTTATGTGATTATTTACCTAGGAAATTTGAAAGAACAAGCAGGAACTATTATAATTAATCAGGAATTCAGTAAATGCTGACTTAAAAGAAATATTCAAAAATCAATGGCTTTCTTGTGTACCCACATTAATCACGGGCAATGTATGATGGGGAAAAGATAACATTCGAAATAGCAACAAAGAGAAAATATCCAAGAACAAGTTCGGTCATAAATGTGTGAGGCGAAAACTTCACATGAAAATGAGAATTGACTACATAGAAACACGGCCGGCTGGGTCGGTGGAAAAGAAGATTAAAAATTGTCAATTCCATTAAGATTAATCCATACATTTAATTCAGTTCCAATGAAATCCCAAATGTATTTTCTTGCAACATCAGTTCATTGGGAGTTATAAATAGACAAGAACGGCTAAGAACATCTTAATAAATGAAATTGATCAGGGCAGGAGGAACTTCTAAGGTCAGATGTTTAAATGCAGGTGTTCAGAGGCACACCACTGCCCACTGTCCAATCTGTTCTAAAATAGCTCCTATCCACAGAAAGACTCAGGTTAGATTTGTTTAAGAAGTTACTTGATTCTGGGGTTGTAGCTGAGCTGGTAAGGCACTTTTGAGGATGCATTAAACCCTGAGATCTATCCCAGCACCACAAAAGCTGGGCATGGTGGTGCACACCTGTAACCCCAGCACTTGGGAGGTAGAGGTGGTGAATCAGGAGTTCAAGGCCAGCCTGAGCTATGCGAGACCCTGTTTCAAAATGAAAACAAAAGCAAGCAAACAAACAAAAACAACCAAGTGTGTTAATGAGTGAATGAATAAGCCAAAATATACTGTAGATTTATATATACATAAGACAAAATAGTAAAATTGGCATAATTAAACAAATGAGCCGACGCAAGAAAATAACTGAGGTGTGCATAGCTATTTATTATATGGTGAAAGTGGCATTTTAAATCAGTAGGGGAAACAAATTATTTAATAAATAGTGCTGGAATAGTTGGTTAACCATTTGAAAAAATAAAGTTAGACAATTGGATGCGTATTAGCAACTGGGTCTGTTAAGCGAGTTGTTGCTTCAACATGATGGGATGTGATGGGCCGGTGAAAACCATGTTTCAAGCCAAGTGTGGTGGCACAGGCCTGTGATCCCAGCACTCAAGAGGTGGGGAGGCAGGAGGATTGTAAATTGAGTCTGGCTGGACTGCTGGCCAGGGAACTCGGGTGGGCCTGCTGTTGACCCTCTTGTGCCCATGCACCAAGCGCTGAGGTCCACCTGAGGTCAATCTGAGTTCTAGGCGCAGTGCTACCATGCCCAGCTTTCTAAAGTAGGCGCCAGGGATCCAGGCTCAGGTCCCCGTGCTTCTGCTGCAGACACTTTACCCACTGACTTATCTCCCAGCCCCATTTTAGGCCTTTGTCTTATTACAGCATCTGAGAGGCTGGGTAACATACTGA